AGCAAAATCAAACATGAAACCTCTACCTTTTACCTCGCGCAATGACATCATGATAAGTTAATAATCACTAATCATGCTAATTGGCACCAAGTCTGTTGTATCTCATGTATTATGAGTTGTGATTTTAAAATTAGTCAAACTTGAAAAGATTAAATGAAGTGATAATAATTGTTAATTAAGCCACAATAGCAGTATATTTGATAGTGAGTGGGTTGTGTAGTTCTGGTACAACCGATTACTTCTGACAGTTGGTTATGAAATCTAAGCTGTTTCCCATTATAGCGACAGGTGTGGCTTTTGTCAGTCTTAGCTCTATGTATTTTCTATCCTTCCTATGCATGAATGCTACGATTAGGTCAGTAAAACAGGCTGCATATATTAGGGCTGGCTAAAAAGATTGATAATCGGAATTATCATTGATGGGAAGAGTGAGTGAGTGAGTGAGTGAGTGAGTTGGGTTTAACGCCGCTTTTAACAGTATTCCAGTTATATCACGGCGTGTCAGCTTAATGTGGGAGGAAAGCCCGAAGTGATGCAGGTCACAGACGTTTACCACTTCTGTGAAACCCACGAGCACGGGTATGGTGCTGACAAACCTAGAAACATAATTGGGGCGAACTGGGATTCGAACCCACATTGATGGGAAGAAATATTAATGATTATTGATATGAAATTGTTGTCATGTTAATAAGTTCCATAAACTATAGTTATGAAATAAAGTTGAGATTTACTCAAACCGACTTTGATCATGTCAGTTGTCGAAGACAGAAAGCAACTGTTTTATTAAATCTCAAATACCCACAAAGTAATCCATGCATAAATGTGTCACTATTCACCAGTGGGGTGAAATATATTTTATTTCTTTTGGGATTTGCTTAAAATTACTTCTCCGATATTTATTGATAATTGATCAATATTTAGTTAGCAATTATCAATATCTATGATCTATATCAATAGCCAGCCCTACCATCAATGAGCATACACAGTGTTCAGGGGAATACATGTTGTATAAGGCTATTACTAGTATTAGGCATGATGTTCAAAATTTATTGTTCATTTTGAAATAAATATGTGTGACAATTTCACAATATTGTTTGTAATTTGGTCACATATGCTGTAGGTTTGTACATGCATAAACAGGCAATTATGAATATGATTAATTGGTTGTTTGACCAATTAAATTATAGGCGATGTTGTTCATGTTTATGGACAAAATATGTAACACATTTCACATCATATTGGCGAAATTTGTTTCCAAACATGAGTCGACCAAAATCAAAATGGTAGACATCTCTGTGGTATGTAACCATGGTGAACATCAATCTTGAGAAAACAGTGATGCCAGTCATGTTAACATGGTTAAGACTATGTGCTGGTCCACCACAGGAAGGGAGGGGAGATAAGTGGGAAAACAGTTCCTTATACCAAACATTCTAAAGGGAAATCCAACCCCATGTCTGTCAACAATCAACTAAATGTACATTTATTATTTTTACATTGATTTATTTAGGGTTTTGAACTAAGTGTCCTTCAAGGCACATTCATGAAATTGCCAAAAATATATTTTGTCCCAAATTGGGAGTATGTTGAACATGTTGAAGAATTGATTTTTTTTTTTTCAGAATACAGAAATATTTCACCACTTCACGGCTGCATTCATCAAAATTAAATTAGATTAAATATTTAAAGCTCTCGTCTCTATTGGTATAACCAAGAGTCATCACCATAACCATAATAATAATCTGAATCATTGGAATAGGGAAATTTGATATTTTTACTTCGACTTGCTGTTGGCATAGCACCCAATAACGTCCAGTGAGAATGCCTAGATAAATCCCTTATTAACAGACACTGACTATAATTTATCTATTAACATCAAATAGGACTCAGTGCATATACAGCAAATAACAAGCCTATGTGAATATGGAGAGGCATTGAGTGACACATTCATTATCATTTGATAATGTTGAGTGAGTTAGGTTTAACGACGCTTTTAACAGTATTCCAGTTATATCAAGGCGTGATGCAGGTCTCAGACGTTTACCACTTCGGTGAAACCCACGAGCACGGGTATGGTGCTGACAAACCTAGAAACATAATTGGGGTGAACCGGGATTTGAACCCACAATCATAGGTTTCTGGCATTCCCCAAGGGAGGCCACTCTGCACAGCGAATCGCTGCGCCTTAGATAGATAATGGACCCGTTTGGGATCCTGAATTCCTGATAGATAATCCACAGGTGGATCCAGAGAGGGGATGCAGGAAGAATGTGCACTGGTGACCAGCATAGCATGTACCTCCAGCTTTCCAGCTCCTGGATCCGCCTCTGGAATCCATATCACAAGTTGATAACCTGCCTATATGTGTCAGCAGGGTCAGTGGACCAGCACATCTGATATGGTTTCAATACATTCCACAGCACAGAATATGTGTACATGATACATGGGCTTCAAAAAATAATTTAGCTACACCTAAAACAGGCAGATACATGACCATGATGACTAAGCATGCTAAGTGGATATTCTAAAATATACTCAGAATAAATTCCTCTTTTATCATGGTACCTCATACTTTTTCGTAGCCATTTCCACAACTTCTACATCTGCAAGACTATCTTGACTTGGGCATCTGGCTTTATAGCACCAAAAAATTACACCCATTAGCCATGATTGCCAAAAGGATATTATCTACCTTGGGATTATTGCCAAAATATTTTACCATGTTTAGTCTGAGGAAATTCTGAAATCACCACCGACCACAATTCACATGATTCTCATTAACAAAAATGAAGTTACAATGAATGAATCTTTGCAACATTTCTAGAAACCCTGCACATGATAGATTATGATGGGATGAGTGAGTGAGTGAGCATGGTTTTACGCCGCTTTTAGCAATATTCCAGCAATATCACGGTGGGGGACACCAGAAATGGGCTTCACACATTGTACCCATGTCGGGAATCAAACCCGGGTCTTCATCGTGACGAGCGAATCCTTTAACCACTAGGCTACCCGACCGCCCCTATTATTGGATGAAGAGGATATTGACAGTTTGTATAGAGAAGCTAACAGCTAGATCAGCATATCAGTATTAAGTATTAATGATCAGTATTAAGAGAACCCTAAGACCAGTGAATAGTATGAAGAGCTGTGTGCTAGTTGAGCTGGATGCTGACTCAACAGTTTCGCCTGTGCATTTCGACATGTGGTTGATGGGTTATCATGAAGGTTAATACTCATACTGCTATCTCCTCATCCCTTCTCATCCATTTATCATGTGCTATTGGATACATCTGTCAGGGTTTCTGTATGATTCACTTCTACATCACTCATGCTCATTACGACAGGGACGATACACCAACTGCGATTCAATGCGTATCACGATACCTTGCTCACGGTCGGGTACATATAACGATACTAGCATGTGCTGTTATCTGTGGTGCGTAAGCCATCTTTTGCATAGACAGGATGGCTAAATACCTGGCACACAGTTTACAGTTGGCATTGTCAGGTATCGCACAATGAATGAAAATATTTAAATTTCACTACTGGTTAATGTCTGGTGTAACAGTTATAAAAGCAGACATTTAAGGTAAGAATAAATATGTTTTACTTAGTGTGTGATTGTGATCGATACTTGTATCGAGAATTATAAAAATTGTGATTCGCCTATGCACCTGGGTATCGTCCCACCACTAATACTCATTGCCCATAAATCTTAAAATAGAATCTACCTGTACTTTCCTTACATGCCTCAAACTATATCTACTTATTTCATCAAAAGTGAACTCTCAATTTGTATTCCAGATCAAAATGGAAAACTGGGAGTGGTTTCGCAGTCGCCATCACGGTTAAGAAAATTAGTGTAAATTGAGTTATCAGTAACCATGGTAACTGATCTATTTTTGTGCATAAAATAACTTGAACCTGCAGATGCATAGTTTGATAATTCCATTAAAAATTTTGAGCTAGTGAGTTAGAGAGTGAGTTAGCATGACTTGAATCAAACTTGCTAGAACTGCCAATTTGCCTGAGATTACCTACCTCTCCCCACCTAAGAAATGATTGATTGAGTGAGTATGGTTTTACACCGCTTTTAGCAATATTCCAGCAATATCACGGCAGTAGACACCAGAAATGGGCTTCACACATTGTACCCATGTAGGAATCGAACCTGGGCCTTCGGCGTGACAAGCATACACTAATAAACGAGAGTTAATCCTACCATGCCTACTATCAGTAGGCTCTACTTCACTGTACTTCACTGTCATTCATGCACATGCTGCTTCTTTCAAACAAGTACCAGGCACTTCACCATTTCATCTTCCCTATAACTTAAACTAACCCCAAATACTCCTTGAAGCTCTGACAATCAACAAGTCGTCAAACACACAATTATGACTCCAAAACATTCTTTCAGAAGAAACTAATGCAAAGTCTATATCTGATTTACCGAAAAAACAACTAATCATCTAATCTAATCCAATCAACTGTTTTTTATGAATTAATAAAATTGTTAACACAGATTGAATTAAATCATATTGATCATGTTGATATATATAATTCATGCAAAACCTATTGGTGAACTGAATATACATCCATGCAATATATGCATACCAGAGCCCACTTGCATGAAGTGATCTTAATGCTACAACTATTGCAAATCTATGTTAAAGAATAGGAATTACAACTGTCTTAGCACTAAGATCCTGCTGTGCAATCGGTCCCTGAAGTGCAGCAACTGTCCACTGCAATTGTGCATCACTACCAATGTGCAGCTCTACCAAGAGGTACAGCGATATAGTAAGATAAGGTTAATAGAACCGTAGTTTGATATATATACCTTGATTATATAGTCAAATAGGCAGAGGTGGATAGGCACAGTGCTCTAAACTAAGACCAAAAGCTAGGCTAGTATCTAACCATAGAATACCATGATAATAGGGAATTAGTCAACGAACATAACTATGCTGGTTAGCATTGACTAGTCACAAATATACCTGTGCATATTCCTTCTGAAAAAATGGAAACAAAATAATATACCAAATGCCTTAAAAACCTTCAAGCAAAACATGAAACAAAATAAAGAGGATGAAACTGGAATATGAAAGTTGGAAAGAATAAGGAGAAGAGACCATTTTCATAATTCATAAACAACATGTAAATTTACATACAACACAATGAAACATGCAAACTTGGGAGCACCCAGAAGGATATTACGGTGACACTTTTTCAATTTTCTTGTATTATGGAATTTGACAAATCCGAGCTAAGTGCTTGAGAGAAAGATTAAAAATAATTTAAAATGATTTTTATCTGCCCGACTTGTCTTTGACCAGTTGTTTGATAAAAAAAAAAATCTAAAAGAAAACTGATTTATCACATTTATTTTAGTTTCCCGCAATAAAATTTTATAAACTTGATAAAAAACAATTCCGCTTCATGTTGATACAGTCGTAAATACATGAACATCATGTACATGTTACTGCCAAAATATGTAACATCCTGCACTTTAAACATAATTAGTATTTATATTTTCAAACAAAACTCAAACAACTGAAACCACTTTGTAATGTTTATGCCAAATAAAACTAAAAATGTATCAAGCTACCCAAATATATTCTTTCTGTTCATTTTACTTTTTTTCTACCCAAGACAATCATGCCAATTAGCAAAAGACTGTAAACTATGAAATTAAAAAAGTGTTTCCGAAACATCTGCTGGGGAATATTTATTGATTTCACCTAGCTGTAGCAGTATAAATGTTTACACAGCTCTCATAGATGGTCGGTGTTCATGTTGTGTGAACTAGATTCCATGCAAGAATTATGTTGTCATGTTTCGCTTTCAATTAAATTGTTTCTTAACTGACAAAATTGACAAAGAATGTTTTAATTATGTATGTCATATTAAACTTTAAAGCAACAAAACATGTATGATTTTTCCCACTGGTTTGACAAACTCTATCCAAATATCACTGAACAGAATGAAATGTGTACAATGTACATGGTGCAGATATCGCTTTGGTCAAAGTCCATATCTGACAAATTTTTTGTATATCGTAATCCATTCAAGCTAATTCACACCTTACATTGACCCACTCCAACCTACAATTTCACCTGAACTCTATCAACCATACACTAAACAAGTACGTTACCATGACAACATACAGTGGCCTCTACATACCTGCCAAGTGAGAAGTATTATTGTAACCATCATTTTTTATCCCCGGAAAGCTTGTGGTACTTTTGACTTATTATGCCCTTGTATTATCCCGGTGGGTATTATTTGGGTGTGTGGCATGCAAGGTAGATCTAATACATTCTTATGTATGAAACTGCCACTTCTAGATGCAAAAATAATGTAAACTGTAGTCTGTAACTTTCAGTATGTGTGACCTATCTATATATGTAGGTAATCAGGTTGTCGTACTTAATCATCAACCGTCAGTTCTACACCTTTGAGACTGACTTTTAACAGACAAAGTCCAATCTACAGAAATGTCCTAAAATTTCTAGTCCTTGTACCCCAATTGCCTGAAATTTATTACTGTGTTTTATAGAGGTAGAAATAAATCATAAATGATAATTAGCCAACGAGTATCAAGAAAATACTAAACAAGGGCACCTCCTAAAATGCCTGAAATTCTACTTACCGTCAGGGCAACATTAAGTTAAAAATTGAGCTGACAGGTTACTAAGTGCAAATTTCTGCCCCTACATTTTGCCCTACATACATAAATATAACAAGCATGGCCAACAGATTGGCCTATGCAACAAATGCTCTATGCTATCTACATGAAAGATATTGACCCAAGAAACAGAAACATTATGCATAAGGTATTAATACTATTCCTTGATTAAAAATATTATTTTAGGCTAGCCTATCCGTAAACCTGTCCACGACACCTTATTGGCGTTTCCTATTAGTTATGGTTCAGTGCATCTGGATTAGAGGTGGACGTGTGTTAGTAAATGCATGTGATATATTGTCACTGTGCGTTCTCATATTGTGTGGAGCACTAGGTCTTATATTGTGAGCTGATACATTGCGAGCAGGCTATGGTTTTAGGCTGGCGCAGTGGTTCAGTTAGAAGTTGCGTTGCAATCATTCTGGCAAAATGAATCTTCAATGAAGCGTAACGTTTGTGTTGCTCCGAATGCATGGATTGTGCTACCTATGACAGCCGACCTATATATGACCTTGCGATAAACTAACTACACAGTGACACTGTCAATGCCAACCTGAGCATGATCTGGGACTTGCGGCACATTCATCGTATCCAATGCACTAGTCAAATCGTCTATGTCAATGCGACCATCTTGGTTCACATCCAGCTTTTTAAACAGTTCTTTGAGCTTTTGGCCATCCTCATCAGCTGCCTTACTGGCCTCGCTTTGCTCTTCGGACGGCATGGTTAAATTTCAGCAGGTGATCACGACAGAGAAAGTTGACAGTTTCCGTCGTCTTCTTCCATGGAACAACTCGCAGCGAATGTAACAGCTCAGCAGCTAAAAGGCGGCGTGTGATTTGATTGGATAAAATTCACTCACTCAGCGCGCGATACAATTTATACTGTTTTTTTTTGTCGGTAATCTTGTTACAGAATATAATAATGTAGGTATCGTATTTCTAGTTCTCTAAACATACAAGTTTCGACCAAATAATAACTTGCATTTATTTTTTTCCATTTGTCATATGAATATATGACAGCAGAGAGACACAGACCATTAGAGATATATACACCTGTATCATGTTTTGACATTTCTTGCTAATCAAGACTCTCAGGTGAAGTGAGAGTACACTATAGAATATGTAGAAAGACTGTAAATTCAGTGGTCGAAACTGATCTTTTCACGTTCACATGAACGAGTTCATGCAATTGCAAGATCTACATGGTGAATTATTTAGATCTAAAATGATAATAATAATGATTATTGACATAATTAATTGAGTGCTTCCAAGAATTCATTGATATCAAGGAGTGTGGGAGGGAAGCCCAAAGTAATGCCGGTCCCGCACGGATTCCACTTTAACAGAACCCACCGGCATGGAACTGACAGACCATGGTTCGTAACCTGGTCGAACTGAGCCAGCTGATCCTAGCACGTTTAAGGGACGTAACTCCAATAAAGAACAGTGACCATGCATATATTAACCTGTCAGATTTGTTCCTAGGTGCGGTGAACGTAATCCCTCGTCAATCTACCGTTTAATATCTCTTCTTCCACCACTGCTGGCTACACGCGTCGTCCCGTCAGAAAAGTCTGCCACTGTGCGATGTAGGATTTACACTTCTCTATGTCCGACTGGCAATTAATATCAAGACATATTTTACATATACATGCCACATATCAATTTGGTTCTTAATTACTTACCTCCATAGCGTATACTTAATTTCGTCGACAGTGAACTTTGAATGATAGGGCTGGGACGGGTAACACGGGTACTCGGGTCGGGTGGGCACAGAGTATAGGACCCGGGTACCCACAGGACTAACCGGACACGTGTTTATAGTCACGTGGTATATTGTTTAATATTGTTACACCATAAGTGACTAATGTTTGCATTTCATTTTGACTATGCACACATCCTCCTGACCTTTTATGTATGAATAAAGATAAAACTTCAGTCAACTTCAGTTTATGCATGACGTGTATCTAACTACATTTTGCCAGGGCTACGGTCAAACTATTCCCAGTCGGACATTTGGACCTATCGCTTGAGACCTACAGCAGGTACCCGGGTAGGGTCGGGTAATAGGGGTGGGTGGGTACCCGGGTAGTAAATTTGGACTCGTCCCAGTCCTATTGAATGATGCCAGATCGAAAACCAAAACCGGTTCGGGTTTTCGAAAGCAAGAGGGCGGTCTCCTCGGAAACAGCACCGGGTTTGAATTATCACGAAATAAAGTATACGTATTTGTAGGTTAGTAATCCAGAAGACTAGAATGTAAAATATTCTATCATTTATAACCAGTCGTGCCCATTTTCAGTGTAAGTTCAAACGTTATTATTCACAAATTGAAACTGAGAGGTGAGGTGAAATGGACTTGAACATCGCATTTAAGATTATTGCATTTTATATAGCGACGTGCATGCACATGTATGTGTTTGTTTGTTTGTGTGTGTGTGTGTGCGTGTGTGTGTGTGTGTGTGTGTGTGTGTGTGTGTGTGTAGTTGTTTACACTCGTTCGGACTAATGTCGGCTGTAGGGCGCTAGCCCACTGATATACCATGCCGCACGAATACCCCACTCAGACACAATATATATATACTGAAGCTGAGCCCACATTTTATCCTCTCAATGCCGAGCACCAGGCTGGGAAACAACAAGTACCATCGTCTTTTGGTATATCACGGCCGGGAATCGAACCTACGACCTTCCGCTCTCCGCTTTCAATATGAAACTGAGTCATTGTTTCGGGGTATAATTCACATGGGAGAATCGTGAAAACACCCGGGTCCTACATTTTGAACCCCTGATTTCAGGAGAAAAGTTGAAGACGAGCCCATGTGAAGTCATACAACATGTCATGATGAATTACCTGGTATTTGCGTGTTTGCTAAACAGTTACCTGTTGGACTCATGTGTCAAGTTTATCGTCGTTGTCTGTAGTTATTTTATACACTGCATCAAATTTGAAGTAGGAAGTTTGAAGAGCAGTAGGCAAGCACGATTCCCACATTTAGACGACGATTTGGATAAAATCCACCACCAGATCTGTTACATGTATTTTGTAAATTAATAATTTTCGATATATAACTTTATATACTACTAAAAGTTTGCTAAGGATCAAGTTTTGGCGATATACAAAAATATCCAACAAATTAAGGTTGAAATATCACGGTAACCCCAAAAGGACCTTAATTCCACGATGAACGGATCGGACAGAGAGAGGCTTGCAGTCGAGGTGCTTGATGACTTGTGTTTGGATGTATCGTGATAGAATCGTTGCTCATTATCAGAGAGCACAACAACATTTCCTACTGAGGATTAAAACAACTGAATGACCCCTCAGCGTAAAAGACGCCATTTGATGACCGAAGAATAAGGCGGATGCATAGGCACGCTTGAAACTGAGTCAACTCAACGCCACGTTGCAAAGGTCTTTGATGTCTACCAATGTGGGATAAGCAGGGCATAGAATCGATATCAGACGTTTGGATCAGCTACCCAGCGACATGCAGGTGGTCGACAGCTCTCCACCACATATCGGGAAGACAGGTTTCTCCTGACTGCGGTAAGACGTTGTCACTTCGTGACTGCCACCACACTCCGAAATGATCCGCGGAACGCAAGTGGTCTACGGTCACGGAGGGCATGCATTCGCACTCCGCTGACCTCATCGTCGTGTTGCCTACTTACAGGAGACCATATATTGCATGGAGTTGCCAAAATGTTGTCTTTGGCTATTTCAACAGATGCGCAGAAGTTGACGTATTACCTTTAGAAGTGGTTATCTTTAGCAAACTTTAAGTAGTGTATGTTTCATGAGGAACAGGCATAATGACCTAATTGAATTTTATTTATTAACAGAGACAAATGCAAGCACTTGTATTACGCTCCAAATTAGCACTGGTATCGTAGATCTTACATAAAAAAGAATAATTACGTCTATAGGGAAATGTAGCTAACACTTCACACAATTATGTCCATATTGGACACTGACACGGTCTTGAAAGGAGGAGCAGATTCGCAAAATCTTTGTTACATACTTTACATGCCTGTGTCTCCTCTATCCGAGTTAGAGCGGTCGGGTAGCCTAGTGGTTAAAGCGTTCGCTCGTCACGCCGAAGAACCGGGTTCGATTCCCGAACGGGTACAATGTGTGAAGCCCATTTCTGGTGTCCCCCGTCGTGATATTGCTGGAATATTGCTAAAAGCGGCGTAAAACCATACTCACTCACTCACTCCATCCGAGTTAGGCTTTAAATACCTTATTACAATGAGTGCAGCCCCCTGTTAGGCCTTGATGGACTGATTGTGGGTGCTGTTATAAGTACCACACGACAGAATAGCATTGTCCATGTGGGTTGTTTCGCATTTCACGGGAGAGATCCCTTGATAACAAACTTTGTCACACTGAAAGTGTCCACCAGACGGCGTTTTATAAACAGTCGGTTTAATCAAAATGCGCATTACACTGTTGTTGTTTTCTCGGCCGCGTCACGTGACGAAACTGGTGTGGACGTTTGGACATCAACGAGTGAGTGAGTGAGCGAGTGAGTTGGGTTTAACGCCGCTTTTAACAGTATTCGAGTTATATCACGGCGTGTCAGCTTAATGTGGGAGGAAAGCCCGAAGGGATGCAGGTCTCAGACATTTACCACTTCGATGAAACCCACGAGCACGGGTATGGTCCTGACAAACCGAGAAACATGATCGGGGAGAACTGGGATACGAACCCACAATCAGAGGTTTTTGGGATTCCCAAGGGAGGCCACTCTGCACAGCGAATCGCGACGCCTTAGATGAACAACTGGTTCCAGAAATTCCCGGATGTAACGTTCACCATTGAGACTACCCCGTATAGTAACAAGGTCGTGCATGCAATCGTGGGATATGCACCCCCATAACATCACGGAGCCACCACCAAACGGAACAGTTGGTTTAATGTTCTCAGTGTGTATGCTATACCTTGGTGCCTCCACACGCTCGTTCGGTCATCATTCACATGCAGCTGAAACCTGCTTTCATCTGACCAATGGATACGTCTCCATGTTCTAAGGTTCCACCCTTGATGTACCAAACACCATTGTAATCACAGTCTCCGATAACTTTGTACAAGTAGGGGGCGTTTGAAGACTCTTCGGGCCCTCATTCCAGCAGCTCTTAAACGATTCCGCAACGTTTGGCAAGACAGACGTCTATGAGGTAACCAATTACGTGCTCGTCGTAAATGGATTTCTTCGCACTAACCGCAGTAATATCCTGTTTTCACGTCCTGACTTCACAGGAGGGCGTCCTGTACGTGGCAGGTCCTTTCCCGAATTGACATAGGCGTGTTTTCGCACTAGTCGGCTGATTACTGAGTAATGATAACCCAGTTGACGTCCAATCGCATTGGAAGACATCCCTGCGGCATGCATACCAATGATTCTCCATCTTAGTGCTTCACATAATCTCCTTCTTGCCATTTTCAGACTTGACGATGACACATATCAGTTTACACTGTTTTGAGTACATACTTTCCTTAGCTGAGTGCTGGGGAGGCATGCTTCACGTGCAAAGCACGGGGAAATTGGGACGTCACCATCACGCATGAACGGTCACATTATTGGGACAAAACAAAATTAATATCATAATTAGTATTGACATCAGCATTAAGCATTATGGTAGTGTATTATCATACATAATATTAGGGGGTGATTGTATTTGGGGGTAAAGTTGTTACCGTATATATTTTGACGTTCGACGTTATTTACTTGGAATTGTTTGTTTTTGTTGTTACTGTTCCCCTCAATGTTGATGAAATAAGTGAGTGAG